AAGTGACACCATGTGAGTCATGCCACGCAAAGGCCACCTCAGCTGGGCAGAGCCAATGTGTTCATGGCTGTGGCTGACACATGGTGGCTGGCTGGACGAGGGCTGGGCCGGGGAGATGGTGAGCAAGGCTTGAGTAGATCGACAGGGTCCCCCGGAGAGGCTGAGTGGGGCTCCTGAAAGCAAGAGGGGACTCCAGGGTGACTTCTGAGTAACTGAGAGGGGATGTGAGGGAGCAGCCTGCAGGAGTCCTTGGTCCTGTAAGTCTGTGCACAGCACTTCGAGGTGTCTGGTAGGCATCCAGGGGAGATGTCATGGGGGCTGATTTACGCATCCACTCCACATTACCTGAGCAGGACAGAGCTCCGAGATAACTGGGGTCACATGTGATCAAGACAAGTGTTGTCCTTCAGGAGCTTAACATTCTAAGTGGGGGAGGCAGGCAAGGAGACAAGGCTGTGCCTTTGGGTTTGGAAGTTGAAGGAAGTCAAAGCTGACATGTTTTGAAGGTCTTCAGAGTACTGACATTGTGGGCAAGACCCCAGTGGAGGGAATTTAGAGGGGAAGGGCAAGACCCCAGTGGAGGGAATTTAGAAGGGAAGTCCACAGACTGAGTGCAGGGACATTCCAACAGTGATGTGTGGAGGGGGATCTAATCAGGTACGTGGAGCAGCCAGGGGAGGAGGAAAACTTGCAAGGTGAGGTCCTGAAGTGCTTCAAGAGGGAAGGAACGCTCTACTGTCAAATGCTGATAAGGTCAAATATAGCAGAGAGAGAGAAGGGACTGGAAATCTGTCCATCTGAGCAAGATGCCTCATTCTCTCCCATCCCTACCATCTCACCGGACCTGCACATCTATCTGCTAGTTAGTGAGACTCAGTTTGAGAGCCCTCTTCCTCTCACGGGGAGCTCTGGTGGCTTAGTGGTAAGGAATCATGCCGCCAGCCACACAAAGGTACTCGGTTCAAATCCACCAGCTGTTCCATGGGAGAAAGAGGGACAATCTCCTCTTGTGCGATTTACTGCGTCTGCAAACCTGCTGGAGGGTCAGCTATGAGTCTGTTCCCTCTCAATGATACACAACAACTTCCTCCCTCACCATCCCTCAGCTAATGAACTCAGCTCAGGCTGAGGAATCAGGAGCTGGTAAACTTTTTCTGAAAATGTGTGTAGAGGGTCAGACCTGTGTTGCTGAGCATGTCCCTGTGGCTGGCAGGACAGCAGTAGCCCCTCTGGGCAAAGCTAACCAGGATGGAGAGTGGCTGATTCCCACTTGGGGTCCTGTTGATCCGGGCCCGATGGGGACACCAGCTGCCCTGCTGCCTCCCCAGTAAGCCATCTTCACATCTGTCTTCTCAGCAACGCGCGTCCTTCACAGCTCAGGAAAAATTACCAAGAACGCAATTGACTCTAATTGTAATTTGTCTAACGCTCTTGTTAATGATGCCTATTTAAGACATCCATTAAAGGCCCATGAGGTTAATTAAATGGACAATTCCAATACGGTTCTATCAGAACCCCCTCTATTAAATTAATATTATAGACATTTAACAGATGTCTTAATTAGGCATTATAGCTAAGAAATGCAAACGAAATTAAAACCAAAGCCACTGTCCAGAAAGCCAGCTTTTTATCATAATTTATGTCTTTTGGGAGGATGCTCATGTTTACTCTTCAGCATGGACATTGATCACTTGATGAGCTTTTCCAGCATCCGGGAAATGCTGACCTGAGCGTTCTGAAGCTCAGAACCAGAATGAGGGTGTGAGAACCAAAGAGACGAGTTGGACACATGTTGGACGCTCAGTGATGCAGACACCGCTTCATATGCCAATGAGCCCAAGACGGGCACACAGGTCTCGGGGTGAATCAGCAGGTCAGAGACGCAGCTTGGGGACCTAGATGCCTTTAACACACACCCCTGCTGGCTCTGGTGCAACAAGTTCCAGGGCCCCATTCTGGGAAACCCCAAATATAGGAAATCTAGACTAATGATCCCACTTGACAGATGGAATACTGTGGCCAGTCAGTCAGCAGAATTCCACATCGACTCCAAGGATTAGGGAGCTCTGGTGGCCAAGAGGTAAGAATCGAAACTACTATCCCAAAAGCACGAGATTTTAATCCACTGGCTGCTCTAGGGAAGACGGATGGGCAAGCTCATCTCATGCAATTAAATGCCTCTGAAAACCCACTGGAGGGCCAGTTCTGCCTTGATGGCACGCAACACACATACATCAACTGTGACCAGTAGGGAGCTCTGGTGGCCTAGCAGTAAGAAGCTGTATTGCAATCCCAAAGGCCTGCAACTGGAATCCACCAGCTGCTCCGTGGGAGAAGGATGGGCAATATCTTCCTGTAAATTACTGCCTCTGAAAACCCACTGGAGCGTCAGCTATGAGTTGGTTCCGACTCGACAGTACAACTCTGTGGATAAGAACTTTCCTAGTTGTGTTGACTCCATCATGAATTGTTTCCTCTAACGTAGGAAAGTCAACTTCTGCCTTGTGGATATAATTCTCTGTAATGTGATCACCCTCCATTAACACAATCTAATGTTAATACATCTAATAGTCAGTCAGTTGAGGTCACATGAGTGTAGGGCAGATCCTGATCGCTGAGCCCTAGGTCGGGCAGCAGGCACACAGGGACAAGACTGATGCCAGCCTAGGGGTCCAGCCCAGTGAGAGGAGTCCCTGCGTGGAACAAAAGGTTAACACCAGGCTGCCTGGTGTTGGAGAAGAGCACTGAACATCCCATGGATGACTGGGAGAACAAACAGTATGTCTTGGAGAGGGTGCAGCCTGAGTGCTCTTTGGAGGCAAGAGTGATGAGGCTTTGCCTCACATACTTTGGGCATATTGCCAGGAGGGGCTTTTCCCTGGAGAAGACATGACGTTGGGAAGGGTTGGAAGGTCAGCAAAGGGGAGGAAGACCTTCAATCAGGTGGATTGGCACAGTGACTGCTGCAATGGGTTCTTGTGTGTCAGGAAGCATGAGGATGGCACAGGACAGAGCAGGGTTCAGATATTTTGTTCACAGGGTTGCTATGAATTGTACTTGACTCAATGGCACCTAACAACAACAACTAGGCTGCTTACCAAAAAGCTGGCAGTCTGAACCCACCACATGGCTCCACAGGACAAAGGGTTGGTGACTTGCTATAAATGACAACCTAGAAAACGTTATGGGGCAGTTCTCCTCTGTCACACAGGATCCCTGGGTCAAAGCGTCACTTGACAGCTCCTACCAGTACCAGGTGGGCTTCTCTGCCAAAGGCCCCAGCTCCACCAGGATCTCACTCACTGGACAGAGTGGTGTAGAAAGCACACCTCCCTCCCTAACAAGCCAATGGGTATGGCCCGAGGACTGAGCTGGCCTGATCTACTCCCCAGGCTGAAGCATGTTCTGAGTGGCAGGCAGAGCAGCTTCCACAGGGCTGGTCACTGAGAAACAGAGAGGGAGAGAGCTAGAGAGAGGGAAAGGGAGAGAGAGGGATCTACAATTGAAATGGCAACGCGCATGGAAACTTGAGTCTGTGCCAAATGGCAAACAGATTCCACATGGCAAGTGGTACCAACAACTTTTCTGGAAAGCAACTGTATATTTACACAACACTGGGTGCTTTTTCCATCGAGGAGTGGGTAAGAGCAGGGGTGGAGGGAGTTATGGCACCTATACTGTTTCCAATGTGGCGCTCTCGGATGGTGGGAGGAAACTGCTTTCAACCGGAAGACAACAGACCTCGTGGTGGGAACCAGGTAGCGCAGGGGCCACGGCACTTTTGAACCCTCTCTGTCTACCTGGCGCAGCGTCCTGGAAGGTGGATTGCTCGCTGCTCTGACACACACAAGGTCACTGTGAGTCAGATGTGACTTCACAACAACTGCTCTGTGCTCAGAAAGCCAGTGCTGACACTTCCCCTCCCCAGCAGTGTGGGAGACAGGGAACTGCTTCTGCTGGTATCAAGGAGAGCAGGCGACGAGCTGGCTGCCCATCTTGTCCTCGCCGTGGCTGTCCTCAGCCACTTGTCTCTTAAGGGACAGCGCACAGACCCTTCTGAGCCATGCTCCAGACACAGCTTTCCTGGGACCAGACACCGCCTTCACCCCAGCTCTTCCTGCTCTCATGTGGCCTGTGTTCCCCGCCCCCCTCACCTCTCAGAGAAGGGCCTCACCTCCGGGCCTTGCAGACACCCTGCACAGAGGGCAGGAGTCAAACCTTGCAGCAGCAAAAGTAGAAGAAAGATGGCGACTAAGGTGCTAACGCTGGGGGCCTGAACGGTTAGGAGAGTCCTGTTACCCTACGGAGGGAGCCGGGAGACTAGGGAAGGGAACGCGTAGTGAAGGTCAAGTCGCCTATGCTGGACAATCATGAACAAGCATGACAGGAACAGACTAGGAAAGGGAACGGGTAGTGAAGGTCAAGCCGCCTGTGCAGGATGATCGCGAACAAGCATGACGGGAACAGCCTCTGTGGCCCACCCCAGCTCTAGACCCTGACACGACTGTGCCCCCGATTCCTCACCACCCGCCTCCTCAGTGCCCTTAACAGAGTAACGTTAGTCATGCAGCTCGATGGTCGGCAGAGTATCAACTACAGCGCGTCTCCCACAGCAAAAATGCAACTTGAGCTCTTCCGAGCTGGCAGAACCACCTTTATCTGGAGCCTTTTCATGTGTTAAATTATATAAACAACTGAATAAATAAGAAAACAGACAAAAGGATAAAAACGAAATAAAAGTCTACTGATACCCCCCTTTAGACACCCAGCATTAACGTGGTGTACTCTGGACACGTCTCTTCTCTCTGTGACACAGAAGTTAGATCAAGGCTCAGCGTATGCACCCTGGCCGCCTCACACCATGGTGCTTCTGGGGCAGAACCGTCCTTGACTGGCTGGTGGTCAGTGACCAGCACTGGTTCCACCACATCTTCTCCATCAGCCGGATGAGACGGGTGCCTCCAATTTCCTGCTATTGTCAGTACTGAGCAGTAGACCGCTCACAGGTCGATGACTCCCTTCGCTTTGAACTTCTTGGCAGACCGTTCACTTGATCGAAGTTGGAATTTGCTCCCGTAAATGTAGGAAATAAAGCCGTCAATTTCCACAGTGAACACACAGTTTAGCTTAGGAATAACTGGGGGAACGAAACAAAACAAATTAACAAAAACCAGGGGGAAATCCTGGCATTAAGCTCCATTTGTTGAATATTATTTCTGACATCTGCATGAACTGGATGAAAGGACACTAAAAGGAAATGGGAGCCAGAGAAGGCACTGTCAGAACCACAGACCACATTTGCGAGGGGACTTCAAACCCAATTTTCAAGGTCAAAGGCTATAAACTGAACTCTGAAAACCAGAGACTCCAAAAAATGCCAGAAAAGTTTTTCCCCTACAAAATCTTTCAGCTCAAGGGGATCTTTGTACTCCACCCTCTGAGGTTGAATGAGACCTGAGGAGTATGTCAGGAAACAGAAGAACAGCGACAAAACCAAGCTCAAAAAAATTAAGGGACAAACCCCTGCAACAGCTGCTTTGGACCTTGGGCTTGGAGGCAGCTAGGGTGTGGTCACCCCCAGATTGGCTGCCCCTGTCAGAGGCCATTGTCTGGGTCCAGCAGACACACATGCACTCCTCTGTCACCCCTCTTACTGGCTGATACACTGCTCGGGGACGGCAGCCTGAGAACGGCTTGTTGTTAGTTGCCTTTCAGCCTGTTCTGACATGTCCGGAGTAAACACCGGCTTTTCAGGGCTGTGAACTCTAGGGAGTAAACTGCCAAGCCTGACTTCCGAGGTGTCTGGGTAGGTGCTGGACTGCCAAACTTTCAGCCAGCTATTGAATATTCAACCATCTGCCCCACCCAGTGACTCATTCTGGGCAGCTGGTAGGGGACCAGTCCCACACCCCACCTCTCCCCTCCCCGTCTCTTCTACTGAGGCTGCTGGCTGAGCTCATAAGTGCCTCCTGGGTGAGGGCGGGGTATCTGACCCTGAGCTAACTTGTCAAATCGACTGGCTAGGGCTCTGAGGTAAGAGCCGGAGGCTAAGGCCTGCAACCCGTGGAGACACGAGTGTGTACCTTTCAGGCGGTCGTCTTTGGTGATGATTTTGAAGACGTGCTTTGTCTCCTGGAGAAGGATCCCAGTGACTCCCACATAGGAGGGGCACTTGGATTTTGTGACTGCAAAGGAAGAGAGTTGTTTAGGGCTCAGGCCTCTGGGTGTTCAGGGAGTCCAGCCAGTCAGGCTTCTGGGGGCTGGGGTCCTAGGACAGCACTGGGGTTGGGCACGCCAGGGTCCACACTGGGCAGAGACCAGGCATCCATGTCCTGGGGCATCTGCAGCTCCCGGGACTCCTTACAGGTATTGTCTGCAGGGTCCGTGGCCATGGAGGCTTGGGCAGGATTCTGGAGCAAGGGGCCAGGGAGGACCACAGGCCACTGCCTAGTGAAGTCAAGTTTCACCTGGAAGATCTGAACTAACCCTGTTCATCACGTCCGCAGCCCAACCTTGCCCAACTCTGGCTGGAGCAGGAGTCCCGCTCAGGGCCACCAGTTCCTGACCTGCACCTTCCTGGATCTGATGCTTCCTGGGCCTCTACTGCACCCAGCCCTGTTCCAGGTAAGAGCTAGCGTGTGACAGTAGAGAAGAAAACCTGGCTGTTATAGAGATGCCGTTCCAACAAGGGGCAGGGAATGGGAAGTGTGTGTCAACTGAGCAATGGCATTTTCTGACAGTGACAAATCTATGAAGAAAACAAGGCGAGAGCAGTGAAGGTGAGGGCCCCCTCTGGCTATTGAAGATCTTCAGGGAAGTGACACTGGGCAGGGGCCTGGATGAAGAGGAGGAAGCCTGGGGATATGCAGATCTCTGAGGAGAGGGAACATGACAACACAAGGGCCATGCAAGGGCCCCGAGGCCGAGCCGAGCGGGGGAAGCAGAAGGCTGGGGAGCACAGATGGGCTCCATGCCAAGGCAGGCAGAGGCCGGGAGGCAGTTTCACTCCAAGACGAAGTCGCTGGAAGGGACAGGATGTGATTCCATTTTCAAACTCTCCCTGATGCCTCCTAAGTGTGTGCCTGGAGCCACACGGTAAACACTGCTGACCAGGTGAATGAGGAAGACAGAGGAGGGATGACGTGGGGAGAGATCAAGAGCTCTGTTTCTAAGACATGAAGTCTGAGTTGTCTACTGGACATGCGGGTGCCTGGTAAGTGGAGGTGGGTGTGTGGGCCTGGAGCGGGTCTGCTCTCTGAGCCTGTATTCAAATGTCAGGTCCAGTGAGAGCCAGCACCATTGTGCCCTTGGGGACACTGATGAGGTCCCTGCAGAGAGAAGGTGCACAGAGAACATCCAGAGTACAGCCAACAGGTGGACAAAGCTGGCTAAGACAATCACAGTCACCCCAAAACTCAGTGCTGATGACCTGGATTGGGGGGGCCCAAGGAATTATAAAAAAATGGAGGTTTCATCTGAGCAGCAAGGTGTGTGCCCATTTTGGGGCTGACCATGGGCTTGCAGCCTGATTACCTGAAATTATCGCGCCGTGCAGATCCGCCTTTAACAGCTTAGCCTGAACCATCTGTGGCTGCCTGCGAGGTGGAGAGAATCCTCATGTCAGCCTGAGAGCAGCAGGTCTGCACACCCCGCGACCAGGCCAGGAGGCTGGTTCTACAGCAGCACTGACAACGCAGACGCGAGACCTGAGCTCCACCTCCATATGCTGAGCTTTAAAGGTGAACTCACGTGTCTGGCTTGAGGCCGTTGCACAGGTCCCGGATGTACTGTTTCCACAGTTCATGGAGCGGGAGAAAAAGACTGTACCTGGGGTCAAATCGGAAACAGCAAGGAAAAGAAAAGAAGAAACAATGAAAACTTCGGCAGGATGACTTTGGGGTTAGAGTACCTCTAAGATGGGCCCCTCAAGAGCACAGAACTTGGTCTGATGTCAAGAACCCAGAGCAGGGAACTGCTGGGTCCTGGGTACAAATCCTGACTGCTCAGCCCTGCGTCCCTGCTGGGGGAGCCTCCTGCGGCTGAGCTTCTGCCAATGAGGACAGGCACCCTCTCCGTCCCCTCCTGCTCGTCCGAAACACAAGGGCAGCTGGGGCTCAAGTAGATCATGAGACAGGGCGAGCTCATCTGGACTTCTCACAAGAGAGAAACGAACACCAATCTCATTTAAGTCACTGTCAGTTTGAAGTTTTCTTACACGAGGCTGAACTTGACCTGAATAATCCTCTGCAAATAGCAGTTGCCAGGTTCCCGTGAAGGACGGGTGAGCAGGTAGAGGTGAATGGGACGGAGCAGGTGAGAGGATAGTGAAAGGCTGCCACTGGGGGACTCTTTACCAAAAGTCTGTCTTGAGAAGGGAGAACCACAGTCTTGAGCTCAACAGCAGCCAGGCAAACCCAGGGCAGGGCGATCCCACCCAGGAGGCCATGTGGCACTGTCACTGTCTTGTCTTCTGAATGTAGGAGGCTATTTGGCTGCAAATCTCTAAGCAGAAGCCCACAGACAGTCCTAAGACACAAACTCAGAACCATGGCCGAGGAAGAATGGTGTGTCAGCTGAGAGAGCCACACATTTCCTGGCAGGAGAGTGATGCATTCCTTTTCAAAAACTTCTAAAACACGTGGGCAGCATCTTTCTTTGGCAATAAAATACCAGTGGGTGAGTCTGTCTAGTGCTATTAAAAGCTACAGATATATATAAGAAGAAGTAACAATTCCTCTTTTCTGTCTAATAAAGCTGAAAGACAAACAGCCCGTTGCCATGGGCAACAGCTTCAGATGCAGCACCGGCCTTATTAGTTAAGGTTAGGCCTGATGCCAAACAATGAAAGTCCCCAGTCTCACCAGGCCTTGCTATTAAAAGCCAAACCCAAACGGTGTGATTGGTAAAGGAAGCCTGGCCCCTGGTGGCAGAAGAGGGCTCTGCACCCTCAGTTTAAGCAGAGCAGAGCTGGACTTTGGGGTCTAGGCAAGCGAATGGCTCCACTCACCTCTGTTGTTCAGGTTTGATGTCAAAGAGCCGCAGCTCCCTCCTCTGCCTGGCGGAGAGGCCTTTGGATCTCTTCCTCCTCTCCTTGCGTTTCGGGCGAGTGAAGTACTCCAGGACCACAGCCTTGCGCTGCAGTTGGTCCTCCAGGGCCTCCTGGCTCATGCGCGGCATGCTGCGCTTCAGGAAGGCCTTGACGAAGGCCTCGGCCCGCTGGCCGCCCATTGGCTGCAAAGGCACGGTGCTCACTGCTCTGGGCTGGGCAGCCCAGGACCCCATCCCCTTGAGTCCCCCCACCCCAATCCAGGGCCCCTGGAGCAATGCGACTGCAGGCACTGACCCACCCGCCCACTCGCCAGGGCCCACCCAGCTTCCTACTGCCAAGTGTCTGTTACCCACAGCTGTCGGTTCAGGACCATGTCTGCCATGAAATCCAAAAGCCAACTTCCTAACTGGCTTCTCTGAAGTTACTCTGACGAGGAAAGGATACTTTCTTTGTGAGAGAAAATGGCACTCTGATGGCCTAGAGGAAGGGAGCTGTACTGCGAACCCAAAGGCACGCAGTTCAAATCCACTAGATCCTCTGCAGGAGAAAGATTAACTACCTCTTCACGTGTGATTTTCAGCCTCAGAAAAGCCAGTGGAGGGTTAAGTTATGAGTCAGTTCTGACTTGATAACAACAACAACCTGCTTCTCTGAGGTTACTCTGACTGGGAGGAAGAGACTTTTCTTGTCCTTGGCAAACATCTTTAATATATTAATGAAGATATTTAATAATTGATGACCAACTGAAAGCTAGCTCGGAACAGATGGAAGGAACAATCTGAGGGCATGAGAACAGCAACCCTGAGAGCTCACACTTGGTTCCAACTACCAGGATGTGGCGTGGGGATTCTACAAGAGCAGGGATCACACATCGCCTCTGGGAAGAACAGCCAAGAGCACCAGAGAGCAGAAGTGTGCTCGCCCTTCTGGGCCACCTGTCAGGATCGGGAGCGGTCCTTGAAAGCACCGCAGCACCACCAGCACCATCAAGCTGGAGTTGCGGCCTCTTCTTGTTAGGTGCAATGCCTCTGGCCGCTTGCGCGCTTACAGCCTGTGGAGCATCCTACGCCCTATGCAGCTGCTGCGCCCTGCGTGGCCTGATGACCTGTGGGATGGCCCCTGGGTAACCCAAACATAACTCCACTGCTGAGAGGCTGGCAGCTTGGACTCGTCCTGAGGCACCTGAAGACAGGTTTGGCGATCTGCTTCCAAAAGGTCACAGGATTGAAACTCCTGTGGGGCAGTTCTGCGCTGCACATAACGGCTGTCTAGTCAACATCAACTCAATGACAACTAGTACAGTTTTCATGTGAACTAACCAGGCTGCAAGCATCTTACGGCTAACCTCCGGCACTAACTGACTGAGCCCTTCCTTCAGGTGGGGTAAAGGGAATGTATGACTCAGTGGGACACACATCACCTTCCAGGCAGCCCATGCTAAAGATGACAGGTACTGCGTCTGCTTCAGGACTGTACCTTTAGACGCTTGACTGAGAGTTGATCCATCATTACTGCTACAATAAGAGGGGCATTATTTTAATTTTAAATTAAGGTACATCAACCTTCTAAAATCATGACTTTAAGATAACTCTCTCATTAAGAGTGGGAATTAAGGAAAAGATTTTGCCAAACTCCACGTTAACTTGAAACAAACATATCAATTCCAGTTATGAGACATGATTTGCTTGCCTATGAAAGGAGCACAGTGACAAGACTGAATGATGATGCTCACCAGGGCAAGATTTAGATAGAAATGTTATGGAGACCCCTATGTAGTTGGAGATGCCAGAAAATCGAGGGGTTCTACTTAAACTTTTTTGGGTGTACCAGGGAAGGAGGCTAGGATATGAAACAGACCGTCACAGCAGCAGACCCTGACTGAGGCCACCATGTCTAGGCTGCCAAGGAGATGAGATGTAAGACGGTGGGAAGAACATCAAAACCAGCATGGCTGACTGCAAAGCAACTGAGCCACCTTCGAATCCCCCGTGCTGCTCCCAGAATGCCCGTCAAGCACCATACCTCAATATCCAACTCCTTGGCCTCTTGAGGAGAAAAGGCATGGTAGATGACAGAACCTAGAGGAGTAAAACAAAACAAATCATCAAGAACTGATTAATTCCTTTTGGGCATGGCCACAGATGGGCCCAAGTCTTTTCCAACTATGAAAAATAACTGGGCTTAGTTGGACATGGGAAGGAAGGTGTTACAGAAGAGCTGAGCATAAAAGCTTTCTTAGATGTCCCTTAACCTGCCCTCTGGCCAGGCCTATGTTAAAAGTTCAAAGCTGTGGGGGGATTGTGTACCAATGGCAGGGGGATTGTGTACCAATGAAAGAGTTTTTCTTTTGCTTTTCAAGGAGAGAAGCGAATTGGGGGTGGGGGGGGGGAGAAAAGTGCAACAACGAATGAATGAAAATCCGAAATCTCTGTAGATGTTCACTGAAATGAATAGAAAAAAGTTCAAAGCTGTACTGTGCTGTCAAGTAGAAACTGATTGATAGCTGATCCTCCAGTGGGTTTTCAGATGCTGGAAACTGTGTGGGAAAAGATGGCCCATCTTTCTCCCATGGAGAGCACGGCAGATTCGAAATGCAATTTGAATGCAATTCGAGGGCAACTCCTTACCCACTACCACCTGAGCTCTCAAAAATTTAGACCTTGTTTCGAAACAGTGCTTGTCCAGCCTTACTGTGTGTAGGAATCTCGGGGGAGCTTACTAACACATCAATTCCTTGACTTTATTCCCAGATCATACATTTCTATCAAGTTTCCAGATGCTGTTACAGGGCAAGGATCACAGTTCAAGTTGCAGTGATTGAAAACGTCATAGGTTAGAACCTTGACCAACTGCTCTACAAGTCTTCTAAAGCAACTCATTTAAGTTGTATGAAATTGCCGTCCAGGCAGATCGCTGAAGAGATCTAAGCCTCATTATGTGTAGATTCCGTTTATTTATAAACACAAACAAATGGTGGGGCTCTGCTGGATGTATTTTGTGGATGTATGCTGAGTGTAGAGAAGCCAAAGCACAAGGAAGAATTCAAGATACTAAAGAGCCGAATAGAAGATTCCAAAAGGCAGCACGGAATGACAAAGCAAAATATTACAATGAAATGTGTGAGGAACTAGAGTCGGAAAATCAAAAGGGCCGAACTCGTTCAGCATTTCTTAAGCTCAAGGAACTGAAGAACAAATTCAAACCT